TAGGAAAAGAAAACAGTAATTGGAATTGTTTCAATTGTAAACCTTTCCTTTTGTCGAGGAATGAAATGAACATATATTTATGGAATAATAGAATCATATCGCATATAATATTTGAGCTAAATCAATAACAAGCGAATCATAAACAAAAAAACAAAAAAACCAACATGATTGTGTTTATTCCCCCGGAATAACATTCGTTTCTTATGATGATCACTTTCTCGTGCGGTACATAATCAGCACATGACAATGTTCTTATGGTGAGTTTCTTGAATAGTATAATAATTAAGGGTCTGAATAAGTTAGATTACATATTAGAGGTTTATTACTTAACATATGCTTGTAAAATAGTCAGGCTTAGGTCTAAAATAAGCCTGTAAAGGCATAATTTTAAAAGGAATGGTCTATAAATTTGGAAGTCGCCTTATATTTATTTAAAATTATATCATATAATATAATTTAAAAGGTGGTCTAAGTGGTCTGATAGGGTAAGTAGGTTTGGAATGTTGAAGGCTTATTATAATTTACATGTTTATATAGGTTAATAAGTGTTATATATATAGACCTTTTTATTTTTTAAAAATAATTCAGCTCAGACCCATAATTTAGTTTGCTTCAAATTAATAGATCAAACCAAGCTCAAATTATTTTACATTGACTTCACTTATTCAAGCCAAAACCTGACTTGATTCCTATTTACATATTTAATAATAGCCGTAGGACACTGATTAGTTTCATAATAAGTTGAAAATGGATTAAACTTGTAAACATTATGTCTCATGATTTTATGTATACATATAAAAACTAAACAATGGCATACACCTTTAATATGACAATCACCCGAATACTTTTCTTTTTGAAAATAAAATTTTTAAAAATAAAAATTATTTAATGTATTTTTATCTAATAACTTAAGATTTCACGATAGTTGACTCATGTTATCAAATTTTTTTATCAACTGATTAGGCGTTGCATTATTGTCACTTTTATTCCCTTAAATAAAAAATTGAATTTTTTCACTTAATACAAAAGTCCTCTAAACTTAAAAAACGTGAACAATTCATAGAGTTACTTTATTTCATACTAAAATTTAACTTTTTAAGCCTCTAGGATTGATTTTTGGAGAGGAATTTGGGTAGTTTACAAAAGATATATATTGTAGGTTGGGATCTCAGTGTCACTATTGTATCAAAAAAAGTTTAACTTTATAATTTCGAAGAAGGAAAATATTAAGGATTGAATAAACCACATAATCAGAAAGGTTCTACTACTATATTATAAATTAATTATCTTAAAAATTTAAGTTATTAAATAAAGATACATAAATAATTTTTATTATTTAATAAAAAAAGTTAAAAAACAACAGTCACCAAACGTGTGCAAATTAAATCCCATGTGTTTGTACCAAAAAAAAAAAAAAAAAAAAAATCCCATGTGAATGAGCATTTTTCTCGTTGTCTGCGGCCCCCATACGCCATGTTTATTGATTAGATATTTATTCCTTTCTCCTCGAAACTAACCCGTAAAATTCAGTGGATGAAAACGCTGAATGTACTTCCGGTACCTTCTGTCTAAAACGTCTATGTATAGAATTTAGATCTTGATTTGAATCCATGGCTCTTCAACCTTCAATAAAAGTATTAAAACACCGTAATTTGAGATAATTGTTGAAAATTTTAGTACGAGTGATAAAAAGTCCTATAATAAAAAGTGATGGTATAAATATAGTACATATATGTGAAATGATTTATAAATTTAATGTCTTAAGATTTTGGGTTAAGATATAATATCGGATCCTTTGTTATGAATTTGTTGCTTAGACCCATTTGATGTGTGGAAGGTAATCTCCCCTAATTAGACTTCCCTTGGCCCTTGCTTGAGGGGGAGATTGTAATACATATAAGCGAAAGGGACCTATAAACTCAATGCTTTAAAGTTTTGAGTTGATTTGTGGTATCAGATCCTTTGTTGTGAGTTTATGGCTTATGCCGATTTGACGTGTAAATTGTAATCTCTCCTAATTGGGCTCTCCTTGACTGCAGCCCAACAATAATATATAAAATTATTAATGCAAAATTTATTTAATATTTTTATATAATGAGAGAGGTTATATTTACAAGCTCTTTTCGCTTTACAACCTTTAACAATCAAATTTTAATCGTTGATTTTTTTTCAATTTAACAGTTATAATTTATTGAGAATTAATAATTAATTAATAAATGTGACCCAATAAATTATATCCATTAGATTGACAAAAATTAACAGTTAAGATTTAATCATAAGAGATTATAAGCGAAAAAAAGTTATAAATATAATGTCTTTCTGTGATAAAATGTTCTTGAATTTCATACTTACCCGTTTTAATTTTTAAATAAAAATAAAATGTAAATTAAAATTAATATAAAATAAATCTATGTATTATTCATGCTTTGTGTTCAAAGATTCTTACATGATATAATGAGTTAGAAATATATATATATATATATATATATATATATATGTGTGTGTGTGTGTGCGCGCTTATCGTTTCTCAAGCTGCTTGAGATAATTTTATCTCCGACTATTAAATCATAACCGTACAAAGATGGATTAATGGTGATAAAGGAAGAGAGAGAAAAAAGGAATCATAACCATTCAAAGGTGAATCAATTAATATAAGGAAATAAATAAATAAAACGACGTAGTTTTGGGGTAGCCGGAGATAAACTTATCTCAAGCTGCTTGAGAAATATTTTTCTCTATATGGGCTTATCGTTTCTCAAGCTGCTTAAGATAATTTTATCTCCGGCTACTAAATCATAACCGTACAAAGATGGATCAATGGTGATAAAGGAAGAGAGAGAAAAGGAATCATAACCATTCAAAGATGAATCAATTAATATAAGGAAATAAATAAATAAAACGATGTAGTTTTGGGGTAGCCGGAGATAAACTTATCTCAAGCTGCTTGAGAAATATTTTTCACTATATGGGCTTATCGTTTCTCAAGCTGCTTGAGATAATTTTATCTCTGGCTACTAAATCATAACCGTACAAATATGGATCAATGGTGATAAAGGAAGAGAGAGAAAAAAGGAATCATAACCATTCAAAGGTGAATCAATTAATATAAAGAAATAAATAAATAAAACGACGTAGTTTTGGGGTAGCCGGAAATAAACTTATCTCAAGCTGCTTGAGAAATATTTCTCTCTCTCTCTCTCTCTATATATATATATATATATATATATATATATATATATATATATATATATATATATATATATATATAACGTTCAGTCCTTGACTTGTATGATTTTTGTATAAATACTAGTAGAAAATAATATTTTTCCTGTAATAGGAAGAAAATTTTATCTCCCACGCTCACGTAAAAATAATTAAGATTCAATTTTTCATCTTTTTTCTCCTCTCTTCGCATAACCCCCCGTTCAGAGGAGAATTATTATTTGGGAAAAGTATTTGTCATCTTAAATGACAGAAATTTATGTCATTTTAAGAGAGATACTGACACAAAAAATTTAAAATTTAAATTAAAAAAAATCACTCCCTTTCTCTCTCCCAAGATTTTTCATTTTTTTGTGTCTATCTCTATTCTAAAATAACATAACTTATGTCATTTAAAATGACAAACATCAAACTCTTATTATTTTCATATTAGTAATGATGCAGAGTTTTATTCGACGTATCATCAAAACATCATACACAATTCACTGCTTATGTAACTTAATCTTGTAGATATTCTTCTAATATGAGGATTGAAATGTCAAATAGAAATGTGCGTACGCAAATTTAAAATTCATATAAGGGAGTGCTTGTAAACTGTCAATATCAAACTAGCTGCCGAAAAACGACCACACGAGGGCCCAATCCTCTAATTGCTTCCATTAAATTTTTCGGTATTCATTTTTTGAAAAGTTTACGTCATTCTTTTGATCTTTATAATCTTATTATAAATTTAATTTAATTTTTATAAATTTTTTTTTTTTTATAAAACAAATCTATAATTTACAAAAATATAAATTAATATCTATAATTTCCAAACAAAGTTAATGGTCCAATCCCTTTTCAATATATTCTTGTAGCTTTACTAAAAAATTAACAATTTTTTTTTAAAATGGTTTTGAACTATAAAAATTTGGCTAAATTTGAAGTGAAATTATTAAAACAAACGAATAATTAACGTTTTTGAAAAGCAGCATTTAATATATTATTAATTATTTATTAATCATTGATTTATTATAAAATTAATAATTTATAAATGTTTTAAAAGATTAAAATATTGATATTCCAAAAATAAAATACAATACATCTTTTAATTTGATGATCAAAAAAATGAATATAGCCCAAAAATAAAAGAAAATGAAAAAAAAATTATGTGGGTACTAAAACAGATATGGACCTGTCGTATATTTCAGTCCAAAAGAAAATTATTTGTATCTATCAATAGCTGGCATTCCATGTATAGTATTATAAGTTGGTATTATCATACTTATTTCAATGATTTTTTAATAACTATTTTATATAATAAAAGAACAACCTTAAATTATAAAATATTGTAAGTCTAATTAAAATAATTATACTCTTCATTAAATTTATTTATTAAATTATAAAAAATAAGAAAATTAATAAGTGGATACCTGCACTGTTTGTATTAATATCAAACAATGATATGTTAAAGTAAAATACTAGATATTTGGAACGTATAAAACGATTTACAATAATAAAAAAGATTACATTTTTGTTGATTTTGTTAATTTTTTTTATTCAAACATAGTTAGTTACTAGATGTTCATTACAATTTTGATACAAAAAATTATCATACAAAATAAGATAGATGTATTTTTAAAATTATTTTTTAACACAGTTTTGGACTAGGATGAGACATGGGATGTCCCCACTTTGGTACTCTGAAATCTCCACCGTTCATGACACCCTCATTTCCTTTATTTATAGAACACTCCCACCCTCTCTGCTTCATGTGTAAATTTTGTTCTTCTCTTTGGCCTTCGTTCCAATCAACAACCTTCCTCTGCTTCAGTTCTCTCACCTGCATTCTAAAGCAGCTGGTTGAGAACTTAATTGAACTTCCTCTTTCTCTTTCACTTTCACATCATCAATGGCCAGCTTAGAGGTCTCCAAAGAGGTAACTATATATATATATATATATATATATATATATATATATATATATATAGACTTTCCTAATATATGTTTATTCTTTATTTCTGAAGAAAATTGAAATCACTTTTATGCATCTTAACCCTTCTTGTCTTTCTCACTATATATATATATACACTCCGTTGATCACCTGCATAGTGCATGTTTTGAGCATGCCCTTCTGGTTTATTAATTAATATATAAGAAATATTGTATCTATAAATTTTTTTGTTTACAAATTACAATATGTCTTACTGGTAAGACACTCTTAAGTGAAGTCTTACTAATAAGATATAGTGTAGTTTGTAGAATTTTTTTTTTTTTCAATATAACTATCCTCTTAATATATATATATATAGTTAAACTATATGTATGTGTTAATTATAAGTACTAATAATGCTGCCATTTTTTTGTGTGTGTGTGCTCAAAACTCTCTGCAGAAACAGTTCAAAGAAGAACCAGAAGAGTTCACTCTTGATGGAAGTGTTGATTGGCATGGCCGCCCTGCAATCAGAGCCAAATCTGGGAGATGGGTTGCTGGAACTATCATACTATGTAAGTTCCAAACATAAATAACAGGACAACTTTTTTATAATTCATGTGTATATGTTTTTTTTGTCACATGGTAACGCATTAAAATCATACATATATATAACCCTGTGTGCCCCCTAGTATAGAAGGCAATAAAAATAGCAGGCACCACTATGTATACAGTTCTTAATTTTTTTGTCTATACTTTTATAAATCATTTTTTTTCGGTGCAAAACATTTCAAGTAGCACTTCCTTTATGAATTGTATCCCACACTAGGGTATATCTATTGATCTTATTAACCTCATTTGTGAGTGTGTGCGCGCTACGTCTACATATAGTTAATGATAGGGGTGACTCGTGGCAGTCCTTGGAGCCGTAGAAGTTTCAAGAAAATTGTCCAGCGGAAATTTTGATGAATAATGCGGTCGTTTATAGACTTTTGCCTCCTTTGAATGAGTTTTTTTTCTCTAAAAACATTTTTTTTTAGAAAAAAAGGAGTCATTTTCACTATAAAATTTATTTCAATGTTTGCTTTAAGAAAAATAGAAGTCATAAAAAAATTAAAATTCTGCTTTTTTAAAAATTAAAAATTAAAAATTTTGGTTTTTAAAAAACACAGAAGTTAAAATTCAAATAATATTTTCAAATGTTAAATTTAAAAAAAAAATTAAGTAGTTTTAACTTTTATAAAAAAATACTTCTAAAATAAGTAAGGCATAAAAAATCTTTTTTTTACAACCTCATCCAAATGTATTTATATATTTTAGATAGCTTATCAGGAGAATAAAAGGGAATCTAGAACTTGCTTTTAAGTTGGTCCACAAACGAAACGAACAAGCTCTCCTGGTTATCTTATCAGTTTCAGAAAGTAAAAAACGACAACTTAAACATTGGAACGTCGTGCTCCACTTAATTCACGAAATAAGTTGAGGAAAGAGAGAAAATAGGTAGAGATTCTGAATCCTGATAAACGACAGGAAAGATCGGGAAAACGAGGGAGTGAAAGTGAGGAAATTAGCATGCATTCGAGAGAGGAATTCGTTCCTGAGACGTAATCAGTGTTAGGATCTAGCGTGACGTGGGTTGTTGCCTGAAGCATAAGAATAAATCTTTGGTACTACTATTGTATTAAGATTCAGTGCATCCCACCAATAGAAGCATTACATACGATAGCAGAGAGAAAAAATTTGACAGAAAAAAAAAAACTTTAACTGACATATAATATTTCTATCGATAGGATGTACTGAATCTACTTTAGCTGATTTTTATCGATAGAATGTACTGAATCTTTGATGTAACATCAGCACCAAAAATTTATTCAAAAGCGTCGATACATGACCATTTGACATGGAGTGCAAGGAAGAGTAAATTATTATATATTTAGTGCATAAAATAGTAATTGTGGCTTGTTAAATTGTTAATTGATGAATGCCCACTAACTACCTTATTACTAGTTCGTTCCAAAAATAAGATATTGGTAGGTCACAATCAGACAAGTATTATGATCATTGTTAGGTTATTTCTGAAGCTTTCCGTGTGTGCTGAGAAAAAGTGCGCAAACAATTAACATGCGTGCACGCGTGTTCTAAAATCTGTTATTATATTATGTACCCAAAAAGAAAAAGAAAAATCTGTGAGTATTGAACTTTAGATGGAAATGCATTTGCTAAAATAAAATATCTATTTCTTTTGTTTATAGAGACACTGTAGTAAAGGAATCCAACATAAAAAAGGGTTTTAATTTATCATCAGTAGTTTTCCTTTTCTAAATATAAAAGGCACTTTCTTATAAAGAAATAATTTCCGTTTCAAATTATTATTATTATTTTGGGTGAACTGGGAAGACATTCTTAGGGATAAATCTTCAGTACTGGATTCAGTGCCATAGTATGAATTAAAATTTAAAATATATAACTCAATTATATTTTCTTCATCCTTTGTTTTATTTTAATGTCACATGAATTCACTTAATTTTAATAAGTATGAACCACGGACTAGATACTTCATATTGTTATTAATGTGCAATTTGGGAACAGATAAAAAAACAGCGCACAAGCAGAAGTGACAAGACCAACTACCTTTGGCAGATATTACTAATCCTGTTTGATTTAGCCATGCAAAAAAAAAAAAATGTATACATGAATCTTTTTTTCTTAGTGCATATTTACACCTTTTTTTAATTACGTATACATCCTTTTCTACCACCTCAGTCAGGCATGCATTTATTATTTCAGAGAGACTAATAATTAACATGGTGCTAACACTGCTTATTTTGTTGATTGCACCAATCAGTGAACCAAGGTCTGGCAACCTTAGCATTCTTTGGGATCGGAGTGAACCTAGTGTTGTTCCTGACAAGGGTGTTGGGCCAAAATAATGCTGATGCTGCTAACAATGTGAGCAAGTGGACTGGCACAGTTTATATTTTCTCTCTTGTGGGTGCTTTCCTTAGTGATTCTTATTGGGGAAGATACAAAACTTGTGCCATCTTTCAGGTCATCTTTGTAATAGTAAGTATTATTAATCTCAATTTCCTTTTCTCTTTATTGCACCCTCTTTAATTTATAGCTAGTACATTTCTTGAATAATCAACTAATTATCTTCTTATTTGATATGATATATATAGGGTCTAGTATCCTTGTCCCTTTCATCATACCTCGCCTTGCTTAGACCTAAAGGTTGTGGGAATGAAACAATTCAATGTGGGAAACCATCAAGCTTGGTGATGGGGATGTTCTACCTCTCAATCTATCTCATTGCCTTAGGGAATGGAGGATATCAGCCAAATATTGCCACGTTTGGGGCTGACCAGTTTGACGAAGAACACTCAATGGAGGGTTACTCAAAGGTGGCCTTTTTTAGCTATTTCTACCTGGCTTTGAATCTTGGTTCACTCTTCTCAAACACCATTTTGGGCTATTTTGAAGATGAAGGAATATGGGCTCTTGGGTTCTGGGTCTCTGCAGGATCTGCCCTTGCAGCCCTTGTCTTATTTCTTGTTGGGACACCAAGATATAGACACTTCAAACCCACTGGCAATCCTCTTTCTAGGTTCTGCCAAGTCCTTGTTGCTGCATCAAAGAAATGTAGAGTTCAAATGGCACCAAACGGAGAGGACTTATATGTCATGCATGAAAAGGAATCTTCCACCAGAAAGATTCTCCACACCCATGGGTTCAAGTAAGTAGTAGACACTAGTTATAGCTCTGAGGCTGCATGGAATACCTTTACTGTATTTGTATAATTGCTGGAAAAAAATTATCTCATGCAAAAAAATAAAAAATTATGTATTAGATGTAGTACATAGTTATAATATTAAAGTTGGTTTATTTTTCTTTCTCCTAAGACATTTTCATTGATACAGAAAAAATAATTTTATCATTATAACTATATATTATCCGTAGTTTATAATTATTTTTTTTGCATCAGATAATTTTTTTCCATAGAAAAATGGAACCCTTATATAATTGGTCATTCTTGATTCTACTGAGATGTGAAGATCTGATCAGTTTACTATTTATCATCTGCATTGTAGGTTTTTGGATAGGGCAGCATTTATATCCTCTAGAGATATAGATGAACAGAAAGGTGGCCTTTATAACCCCTGGAGTCTCTGCCCTATAACTCAAGTTGAAGAAGTGAAGTGCATACTAAGACTTCTTCCAATTTGGCTCTGCACCATAATATACTCAGTGGTTTTCACACAAATGGCTTCTCTTTTCGTGGAGCAAGGTGCCGCAATGAAAACTACTATTTCCCAGTTCAGAATACCACCAGCAAGCATGTCTAGCTTTGATATCCTCAGCGTAGCTATCTTCATTTTCTTCTACCGTCGAGTCATTGATCCACTTGTGGGAAAACTTAAAAAGACAAGTTCCAAGGGTCTTACTGAGCTTCAGAGAATGGGAATTGGGCTTGTTATAGCTATAGTAGCAATGGTTTCAGCTGGAATAGTTGAATGCTATAGGCTTAAGTATGCAAAACAAGGATGTCCACACTGCAGTGGCTCAAGCTCTCTAAGCATCTTGTGGCAAATTCCTCAGTACGCACTTATAGGAGCTTCTGAGGTTTTTATGTATGTAGGGCAGTTAGAGTTCTTCAATGCTCAGACACCAGATGGGTTAAAGAGCTTTGGAAGTGCACTTTGCATGACATCCATCTCACTTGGTAACTATGTGAGTAGCTTACTTGTTAGTATGGTTATGAAGATCTCCACCGAAGATCACATGCCAGGGTGGATCCCTGGAAACCTAAACAGAGGTCACTTAGATAGGTTTTTCTTCCTCTTAGCTGCCATGACATCAATAGACCTGGTCGTTTACATTGCATGTGCAAAGTGGTTCAAGAGTATACAGCTTGAAGGGAAATATAACGAGAATGATGAACCTGGTAACTTCAAAGTCTAATTTTTAATTGACAACAATCAAAGGCAATGGTAACAACATATATATTAAATAAGAGAATGAAGGGAGCAGCTAGTCAAAATAACTTCGACTATAGTTGGCTAGTTTGTTTGTAGTAAGAGAAGCCCTTTTTACCCGAGTCTCTTATAACTGTAATCACTCTTTTTTTGTTACATGTTACTGAGATTTTCAGTTCATGGTCTTGAATCCCAGGTTGTGTAAAACTAAACATTTTGAAGAGACAATGACAGTTCCAGGGCCACTTTCTGTGTTTGTAAGTTTCATTGCTAATGATAAAATATGTAATTTTGATTTTCATGTGTAAAATGGACTGTTACAACTTCCAACTGTTTACAGATCTCATTTCTTTCCTTGATGTCTTGAACTCTTAATTTCATGGACAATCCACTAACTAAGGCACTAATTGGAAAAGAATCAGATTGAGATATTTTTAGTAAGGAATTTCGTGTATATATATATATATATATATATATATATATATATATATAGGTAAAATCATTTCTACAGCCGCTTTACGTACAGCAACGACAGGTGTATGGTTATGATTCCCCACATTTAATACTTTCATCCTTTGTATGGTTATGATTCCCCGCATTTAATGCTTTCAAATATATATATGGTAAGTATTTGAGTGCTGCACGTACAACAGCTGCAGAAATGTAAATCTCATATATATATATATATATATATATATATATATATATATATATGGGAATAACATCTATCCTTTTAAAGGATATAAGTTTATATCCTTTTAGATCCTAACCGTTGATTTCTGTCCATCAACGGTTATAATCTATTGGATTAAAATTATTAATTAATTAATAATAAATTTGGCCCATTAAGTTTGGCCCAATAGATTATAACCGTTGATGGACGGAAATCAACGGTTAGGATCTAAAATGATATAAACTTATATCCTTTAAAAGGATAGATGTTTTTTCCTATATATATATATATATATATATATATATATATATATATATTCTAATTTAGCATAAATTCGCCCAACAACAATGGAATGCCATATAGGAAGATTTAATGCAGCAAAAAGAGGTATTAACAGAAAAAAAATTAAGGTACGTTTGGTCCATAGAATCAAAATTCTGCAGAATTGAAATAGGAATAGCTGAAATGGTATGACCGTTCCTATTTCAGTGTCTGGTTCTGTGAGGCATCCATTACATTCACTTTTTTATGTTTTAATACATGGTATAAGCATGAAGTTCATATGGTTCTTTTGTGACAATTTTTTTTTTTTTTTGTCTAAAATCATACTTGAAGTCATCTCGATATTTTTTTTTCTTGGCCGAAAGAAGACACGTTGACCTATTGCTATTTGTGCAACCATTCTGGCATAGATTTGATATGATCTGAAATTTCATTAGTTTATCAATGTTATAACTAACTTATACATAACGTTTTTAATTTAATTGTTACCTTTCCCAATTTCTTCTAAGACTCATTGCTGGCTAGCATCGTCAGCTAAATTAGAATACACAAGAAACCTTTACTAAAAATATCCCTATCTGATTCTTTTGAAATTAGTTCCTTAGTTAGTGGATTGTCCATGATTGCATTGTTTGTCCAAGAAATTAGAGTTAAAGACATCAAGGACAGAATCATTTGTTATAACTCTGTAAAGTGGAAACAGTTTGAAGTTGTAACACGCCATTTTACACATGGAAATAAAAATGACATAATCATCAATAGCAACGAAACTTGCAAACACAAAAGAAGAGAGTCTGACATAAAGTGGCATGAAATTGTCATTGTCTCTTCAAAATGTTGTGTTTTATTTGTGACCGGATTCAATAACATCAACTGAAAATCTTAGTTAGGAGTAACAAAATAAGTGAATACAATTAGTTATAACAGACAAGGGTCAATTGTCAAAGGGCTTTCCTTAATGCAAACCAGCCAATTTTTATTCCAAGAGAGAATATAGCACAAGTTATTCTGTTACAGTTGCATTTGATTGTTGTCCATTCCAAATAAGATTTTGAAGCTACAAGACTCATCATTCTCTTCATAACTTTCTTCTAGTTGTATACTCTTGAACCACTTTGCACATGCAATATAAAGGACCAGGTCTATAGTTGTCAAGGCAGCTAACAGGAAGAAAAACCAATCTAGGTGACCTTTGTTTAGGTTTCCAGGGATCCACCCTGGCATGTGATCCTCAGTGGAGATCTTCATAACCATACTAACAAGTAAGCTACTCACATAGTTACCAAGGGAGATGGATGTCATGCAAAGTGCACTTCCAAAGCTCTTTAACCCATCTGGTGTTTGATCATTGAAGAACTCTAACTGCCCTACATACATAAAAACCTCAGAAACTCCTATAAGTGCATACTGAGGAATTTGCCAGAAGATGCTCAGAGAGCTTGAGCCACTGCATTGGGGGCATCCTTGTTTTGCATACTTAAGCCTATAACATTCAACTATTCCAGCTGAAACCATTGCCATTACAGCTATAACAAGCCCAATTCCCATTCTCTGAAGCTCATTGAGTCCCTTGGAACTTGTCCGTTTAAGTTTTCCCACAAGTGGATCTATCACATGACGGTAGAAGAAAATGAAGATAGCTACACTGAGGATGTCAAAGCTAGACATGCTTGCCGGTGGTATTCTGAAATGGGAAATAGTAGTTTTCATGGCAGCACCTTGAACGACGAAAAGAGAAGCCATTTGTGTGTATACCACTGAGTATATTATGGTACAAAGCCAAATTGGAAGAAGTCTTAGTATGCACTTCACTTCTTCAACTTGAGTTATAGGACAGAGACGCCAGGGGTTATAAAGGCCTCCTTTCTGGTCCTCTTTATCTCTATAAGATATAAATGCTGCCCTATCCAGAAACCTTCAAGATTATATAATTTGTAAGTCATGCCATGGTCTTAGAAAAATGATTATATAAGTACAGTAAAAGCACTACATGTGGCCTTAGAGCTATAAAGTATAAACAAAATGCTTATGGAAAGTATTCAACTATGTGGTTTTAGCTGAAATTAGCTTCTACTACTTACTTGAACCCGTGAGTGTGGAGAATCTTTTTGTTGCCAATGGTGGAAGATTCCTTTTCATCCATGACATATAAGTCCTTTCCATTTGATGCCATTTGAACTCTCCATTTCCTTGATGCAGCAACAAGGACTTGGCAGAACCTTGAAAGAGGATTGCCAGTGGGTTTGAAGTGTCTGTATCTTGCTGTCCCAACAAGAAATAAGACAAGGGCAGCAAAGGCAGAGCCTGCAGACACCCAAAACCCAAGAACCCACATTCCTTCATCTTCAAAGTAGCCTAGAATGGTGTTTGAGAAGAATGAACCAAGGTTCAAAGCAAGGTAGAAGTAGCTAAAGAAAGCCACCTTAGAGTAAGCTTCCTTTGAGTGCTCTTCATCAAACTGGTCAGCACCAAATGTGGCAATAGTTGGCTGATACCCTCCATTCCCCAAGGCAATGAGATTGATTGAGAGGTAGAACATACCCATCTCAAAACTTGAATGTTTCCCACATTGAAATGATTCATTCCCACAACCTTTAGGTGCAATCAAAAAGAGGTATGATGAAATGGACAAGGATACTAGACCCTGTTACATTAAACCAGAAGATTAGTTGATTACTCAAGTAATGTACTTGCTAGAAATTAAAGTGGAAAAGTAAGGAAGAGAAAAGGAAATTGAGAGAATAATACTTACTATTACAAAGATGACTTGAAAGATGGCACAAGTTTTGTATCTTCCCCAATAAGAATCACTAAGAAAAGCACCCACAAGAGAGAATATATAAACTGTTCCAGTCCACTTGCTCACATTGTTAGCAGCATCAGCATTATTTTGGCCCAACACCCTTGTCAGGAACAACACTAGGTTCACTCCGATCCCAAAGAATGCTAAGGTTGCCAGACCTTGGTTCACTGATTGGTGCAATGAACAAAATTAGCATTGTTATAGCACCATGTTATTAGTATTATAGAATGCATCACTTAAATGCACTCGCATGCATCCTTGTGTATGTGCATCATAGAACCATGCACCTCTGTCTCAGTATCCAAAAAAACAAGTATTTAATGCTACATCAATGCACCTCTTGAGTATAATCGGAATATTTAATGCTACATTAATGGTTTTTAGGAGTCACTTTAGCAATCGAGTTTGTTAGGACTTCGTTCATACTCTTAAAGGACTACGCAGTTATTCTTCTAACTTAACTACACAAAATTCACTTTGCCAAGCCATTACCAAAAAAATAAAATAAAGTAAACTAAATTAAAATAAAAAAGTATCTGATTAATTTTACTTTGAATAAAGTTAAATTACCTTCTTATAGTTTATTCTGAAATTATTTATCCCCTTTTTTTTTATCACTTACCTTACCTTTAGTTTTTTAGTTTTTTGTCCAAATTCACCTAAACAATATTTTAAATTGTATAAATTGTCTATTTTGTTCCTTTGAATCCTGAACCATGTCTCATTTCCAAATACCAAATTTTGATTTGATCGTTTAGAAAGAATATCAATTAGGACAAAAAATTTATGGGACTGCTGGCAAAATTGACCAATTACAAAGTGTCGCATTTAACCCAAGAAATTAAGAGACTATTTGATCAACAAAGAGTTATCAGGAGGGAAAAGAAGAAATACCCTATTCATGGAATTGAAGATTTGAAATATAAAATCATTTAAATTGGCTAAGAAAAGTTGAATTATATGTTGTCACCGAATGATATTTTAAAACCTGAATTTAGATGTATTTGAAAAAAAACAAATCACATGAAAGGTAGATAAAGAAAAAAAAAGGGAAAGTGATGTTAGAGTAAGCTATGGAGTATTCCTGAAAAAAAGGTAAGAAAGGTGAGAAGTACTTGAACTTACTTTGAATGTTTTTTATTTTATTTTCTTTTTCTTTTTTAATATTATATTAAATTTAATCAAGATAATTATATCTTTCTTTCTTTTTCTGAGAAAACATTAATTAGTTATTTCAAACATTTATATCATATACAATAAAGTAAAATCTTTTGAAATTATGTTCTTTTCCTGCCCATTCGTGTTGTGGACATACAGAAAAAATTACCTCCAGGCATTTAAACTAAGAAAATCACTTACGATTCAAACAATCAGTGGCCCCTGGATCTGAATTACACGGAAACAGGAATGGGTACTTAAAAATAATACATACATGAAACAAAACCTGCATTCAAATAAGATTTGAGAGTATTGCTATTTTTTTATTCAATCTACTCAAAAGAGAAGAGTATTATGTTTTTAAGCATGTGAAGTTGATA